CCCTTTTTTTTTTTTTTTTTTTTTTTTTATGAGTGCGATTGTGATCCTGTCTTAATGGTTGTTTGGCCTGAGGCTTCTAACACTGCGGTTTGTAGGCTGTTGGGTAGAGCTGGGTCTTGGTGCTGAGATGCGGAACTCCGTGAGACCTCACTCTGATGAATGTTCCCTGGGGTCTGAGGTTCTCTGCTAGTCCAGTTGTTTGGACTCAGAGCTCCCACCGCAGGAGCTTCAGCCCGACCCCAGGCTTGTGAACCAAGATCCCGCAAGCCGCCTGGGGCGCAGTTGGGGGGTTGGGAACCACAACAATAACAAAGTAAAAAATAAAATTAGACTAGGAAACTAACAGATGTTAGGAAGAATATAAAAACAAAGATATAGATGAATCAACAACTGGAAGGTACATCAGTACCACAGTAGTAAAAAGGAGGGGGGGAAAGGAAAAAAAGGCAGGGGAGGGGGAAGGCCTTGGCTGTTGAGGGCGGGGCCTAAGCAAGGGTGAGGTTTGGGCGGTGGGTGGGGGCCGATGCTCAGGACCCACAGGGCTGGAAAAGGCCCTGGGGGCTGTGGGGGGTGGGGCTTAGGTTCAAGGAACAGAACCCAGGTGTGCCCCCGACCTCTGGTCTCAGAGGGCAGGGGACCTCACCTGGGAGCCCAGAAGGCTTCCTGGGCTGGAGTGGGTGGGGCAAACTCCCTCCCACCTCTCCTGCTCCTCTGGTCTGGGAGGGCCCCTCCCACCTGCCTCTCCTGATCTCTCTGGCCTCAGGGGCACTGATCCTGTCTGGCCTCCACTTCTCCTCCCCACTCAGTCCCCCTACATCCTACTAGTTCACTTTGGGGTTCCTCCCATCTCCTTGGCCATCAGAGTCCCCCACCAGCATCTGGCAGGCGCCCTAATTGTGGGGAGGTGCTAGCTCCGCATATTCCCACACAGCCATCTTCTACATTTGTTCCACATAACCTATTTCAAACAGCATAATTAATGGTAAAACTTTGAGTGCTTTGAGTGTTGTCTTTTAGAAATAAGTACTGAAATATTTATGAAGTGATAGGTTCCTGGGATTTGGTTCAGCAAAGTACAGGAAAGGGAGAATGATGGGAGTGGATTGGATATATGGTTTTGTGGTTTTGGAGGCTATGTGCTAGATATGGGGGTTCAGTATACTGGTATTGAATATGTTTGAAATTCCCCATAATAAATATGCAAATAAGAAAGTAAAATTGAAAAATCAAAATAATATGAAGGAAGTTAAGAATCTTTAAAAGATGTTCAAGCCCTCTATGTAGAAGATTGTAAAACTGTCTAAATACTAAAAGATTTGGCTTGAAAGATCCAAATTTGTAAAAACTGTCTGCTTTCAAAACTGACATACAGGGTGTGTAGAATTAGTGTACTCCCAAGTAAATTTCCAGTAAGTTTTTTGATGTTGCTTGAGAAGCTGATTCTGCAATTTCTATGGCATTTTAAAGGACTTGGGATTATCAAGAGCAGGGAAAAGCAGAGTATTGCTGGCTGTTTTTGTAGAGTTTTATTGGAATACAACTATGCTTATTTATTTATTTGTCATTTGTGGCTGCTTTGTGCAGGGACCAGAATGGCCCACAAGCTTAAAGTATTTACTTTTCTGGCCCTTTATGAAATAGTTGGCTAACTAAAGCTCTGGTCTAGAATCTCTAAGGCCACTTGGTCCTCAGAGTATGTCTTGGATCAGCTGAGCAGCAGCAGCAGCATCACCTAGACATTTGTTTAAAATGCAGATTCTCAGACTATACAATAGACTTACTAGGTAAGGGATCCAGCAATCTGTTTTAACCCAGGTGATTCTAATGCACACTACAATTAAGAGAACCTCTGGTGTATAATTCTGAAGTAGAACAAGGTGGGTAGAGTAGCTCTTCCAATTATTAGGACTAATTATAAAGCTATATGAAGGTATTTTTGCCAGAATAATTAAATATGCTAGTGAAATAGAATATAAAGCTCAGAGATAAACTAACAGATTTAAGAATACTTTATATGTGATATATAACTGCAGATGAGTTGCAAGAAGACAGAATTTTTAATAAATGATGCTGGGACAATTAGATATCCAAATGAAAGCATGAAACTGGATCCTTTATCTCATACCATCTACAAATGTCAGTTCCAGGTAGATTAAAGATGTAAATGTTAATGGCAATATAAGCTTTTTAAGAAAGTAAAATGGGAATGGCTTCATGACCTTAAGTAGGGAAGGCTTTCTTTAAGACACAGGAAAAGCACTAACTATACAGAGAACTGTTGATAAATTAAAGAACTTGTGTTCATTGTGAGAAATAGACTTAGACGTATATTTTGGTCACTTAATTTTTGGCAAAAATGCCAAGGGAATTCCAGGAGAGAAAGGAAGGTCTTTTTCAGTAATGGTGTGAAAACAACTGGATATCTATGTGGATAAATTTGAACCTTGGCTCCTACTTCATATAGTATTCAAAAATAAAGTTGGTTTCTAGATTTAAATGTGAAAGATAAAGAAAATAAAATAAAAGAGATGTCTTCATAAGGTAGGCAAAGATTTCTTAAACAAGATATATAAAGTACTAGCTGCTTGATAAAACACCAACATACTGGATTTCATTAAAATAAAAAATTTCTGCTCATCCAAAAGCCAGTATTTTAAAGGTGAAAAAGCAAGCCACTCTCTGGAAGAAAATATTCACAATACTATTTCTGAGAAAGGAGTAGAATCCAGAACATTAAAGATTTTGTATACATATCCATTAAAATCAGATCTAAGATAGGTGCCTGTGAGCATCATTTTTGAAGGTTCTTCATTAGTAATGCAGAAAGACAAGAGTAAATAATTGTGTTGAGTCTTAGCAAATATAGTTGTATACATAGAAAAGGAGATTGTAATTTTTAAAAGTACTAGAATTAAAAAATTGGATAATGTTGTTAGATTCGAGAAACATAAAATTAGTAACTTTTCTCATTACTAGCACTTAACCAATTTGATGTGGGGACTTCCCTGGCGATCCAGTGGTTAAGACTCTGAGCTTCCACTGCAGGGGGCAAGTGTTTGATCCCTGGTTGGGGGACTAAGATTCCGCATGCCATGTGGTATGGCCAAAAAAGAAAAAGAAAGAAGAAAAAAGGCAATTTGACATGGAAATAGAGAAAAATAATCTATCAGCAATATAACAAAGTCTACAAACTTACAAAAGAATTTTGAGGAATAAATTTAATAAGAATAATATAATCTTTATGAAGAAAACTAATTTCTTGAAGGTACAGTACTGTAGTATTGAACATGTAATGACATGATATTCCAATGAAAAGCTGTAATATAAAATTATTTCCTTTGTAAAATAACATTTAATACAAGTAATATAAATTAGGATTCCAGTGGGGTTTGAAACTGGATAAAATTACTTAAGGTTATTTACATAAGAATAAATGTGTGAAAATGGCCCAGAAATAAAATGAAAAGAAAGTATGGTAATGAGAAGAATTTGTCTTACTAGCTACTAACTTTTCTAATAATAAGATACTAGAATTGACACAGCACAAATTTGGCAGAAAATAGATCCAGGTATGTTTGGGAAGTTATTGATGGAAAAAAGATGTATTTCAGTTTAGAGGAAAAGGGAGGGTTTATTTACCATTAAATAAAGGGTTTAACAAGATAAAACATAGACTGGGAAAATAGTTTTGTTACATGTATCTCTAATTAGAAAGCCAAACTATAATGTTAATGGACAACCTTGTAGAAAGTGGGCAGTGAGCAAAGGATATAGATTATTTAAATAAATATGTAATGGTTAATAAACATATTAAAAGATGTTGAACCTTTCGAATCAGAGAAATGCAAATTTAAAGCAAGCTGGTTGTGATATTGTTTTTTTTCACCTCCCCCATTCTTCTAGTAGGTAAGCATGCTTGTAATGCAAATACATCTACCAGGAATGGAGGTGCTGGGAGTCCTATTGTTACTCTTGGGATTGTGACTTAATCCATCCAGACTTTTGCTAAAGTTTAAAATACATTCACCCCTTTACCCAGTCACCCCTATGAAATAAATGAAACTAATATGTAAGGATATATGTTCAGTGACATTTTTTATGGTTGTATTTGAATTGATAAAAAGTGAATACAACTTGAATGTCCACTAGTATATAAATGATAGGACTGTGTTAAAGTGATGAGTGTACTTGAAATATCTTGTTAGTGTCAAAAAGAATGAATTGCTTTTAATTTCCTTGAAGAGATATCTACAATATTAATTGAAAAAAGTAAGTTGCAGGCTAATATCTCATTTCTGTTAAGAACAAAACCAAACATGACAATAGTTCATGGATAATCATGCTAGCATATGTTTATATACTCATGGAGAATGATGTGGGAGAACACATTATTAATATTGATTTCTTCCAGATAGGTAGGGTGGGAATAAAACTGGCCAGGAGAGAAGGAAATTATTTAACTTTTTTAAAATGCTATCAATACTTTACATTGTTTCACTAGTTACAATTAAACAAAAGGTTTTTTTTCTGTTTAATGTCACCAGGTCAGTAGAAGATATGTTTCATTTTCCCAAATGTCCTCTTTAGAAAAATTTTCTGCTCTTAAGAGCAGGCTAGAAGAGTTAATATAGCAATTCATTATTCTCCTGGACTTTTAAGTCTTTTGGAGGGAAGACTTTAGACCCAGGTCACTGGTATCATATAGTACTCTTGAAACAGTCACCTTTCTTTTCTTTTGATAAGAATATTTTGGTTGAAACTGTAGTACATTGTGAAAATACGTGCAGCGAAGAGGAGAATCAGTAAATGCCCAGGTCTTAAATTTTAATAGTTGTTGTTTCATCCAAACAGTTAAAAGTTCTAATGTTCTGTTTTTCTTTCCTAATAGCTCCATCAGGGCACCGTTCCTGTTTCTTACACAGTAACAACAGTGGCACCACATGGGATTCCCCTCTGCACAGGCCAGCACATCCCTGCTTGCAGTACACAACAGGTCCCAGGATGCTCTGTGGTTTTCAGTGGACAGCACCTCCCTGTCTGTAGTGTGCCTCCTCCAGTAAGTCTGTGCAGTCCTTCTTTAGAGTGGGTAAATGTGTTATATAAGCAAAACCTGAGAGACTTGTACCTTTTCAGTTTCGAATAAAAAAGGCAATTTTATTGCAACAGAAATTTCAATAGCACCTGTACAGTAACAGTTTAATAAAATTAGCTTTAAAACTTGATATGTTTTTACATTAATTAAATTACACATATTTTAATATCCTTTGAAGGTCAAAGCATGTTCCTCACATATCAGCACTTCATAATTAAACCTTGATAAAGACTGGGCTTGGGGTTTTAACATAGGATATTGGACTGGTTAGTAATAAAGTCTCAGAGACTTTAGTGATCAACATTAATAGTCTCAGCACTTACTGGGTTTTAACAGGCACTTTGAATACTTGGTCTTACTAATTCCTCACTATAGGAAGCCTGATGAAACTGAAAATGACTTGCTTAATATCATAGAGAAAATTAGCTTGAGAAAACAGGGGTTCACGCTCACTTCTTTCTGCCTCTTACAAGCTATGCTTTATCCTTTACCAGCCCCCAGTCTAGCCTCCTTATTTCAAAAATGAGGTTGCTGAAAACCAGAGGATTTAAATGACTTGTTGAAGGTCAATAATGTCTTCAAAGTAAATCACTTTGCTAAATCTTAATATAATCCTAATATCCCTGTTTGAATTTGAGATTAAAACAAACACATACATACAAATACCAACACCAGTTTAACAGATTAATTTACCCATGCTTGGTTTCTCAGTAATAGGTTATAGAACCAGTGTTCTAAATTAGCAGACTAAAATATTGAGAGACCATAAAGCATTTAGTTGTGAGTTGGGCTCCTAGAAATAAAATCTACAAGATTGAAAAGGAGAGCTTCTTGGAAAGTAGTAATATCTGCTATATTTTTAACCAAGTGGAAAGAGATTCCTCTTCTATACAGCACTTTCCCTCCGTTTCATAGGTGTTACAAAAGCTGAAGTAAAAGGTACGTGTTTTGACTGGTTTATAAGAACTATATAAGATCCAGAATAATTACTAGTTACCATTATTTTACTAACAGATGCAAAATACACTAGTATTTCATTGTTAATATAGGTTATTAAAACATTTTGGTGTGATTTTTTGGGAGGGACATGGCAGTAACATTTCAATCTCACTGTATAGGTTTTTTAAAATTATATATTCTAATACTAACAAAAAATAATGATTTCTCTTACAGATGCTTCAAGCATGTTCAGTTCAGCACTTACCAGTACCATACGCTGCGTTTCCACCCCTTATTTCTAGCGATCCATTTCTTTTACATCCTCCTCACCTTTCTCCCCATCATCCTCCTCATTTGCCACCTCCAGGCCAGTTTGTCCCTTTTCAAACACAACAGTCACGATCGGTAGGTATCTCTACTCTTATATCTTTAACTTTCACAGAATGTTTAGACCTAAAAGACACATTAATTCAGTAGATGTAAGTTGTTACCATTTAAAAATTGTAACTTAGGCACTTCTCTGGTTCTTAAAAGAATTATGGAATCCCCATTAATACAAATATATATAGATATAATTTATCTAGAATTATCTTGGCTTCTTAAGTTTTTCTAGTTATTTTATATGTCACTTATCTAATCAAATTTGTTCTTTCATATCTGCAGTCCTTTGGGAAGTAAATCTAAAAAAATAGTCTGGTTTTTCCTTTCATGTGTTTCTAAAATGGAAAATGAAAATATTATAGAATTATTTATACTTGTTAGAATAATATTTATATTCATTTAGGCAAGTAAATTAATCCTTTGAACCTCAACTGTTTTTTCCAAAGGCTGGTTTTCTACTGTGTTTTGATGAAAAGTATATGAGATAGTCTATTAATATAGTTAACTCTGTCCTGGGGATGGAGTATAGCAGAGAGGCATATTATTTCACGGGGCTGGAGGAGGTAAGCACTGTATCAGTGGAAGGAAGGACACAGGAAGAAGACCCCATTATTTTTTGGACAGGCCAAGTTGAACCATCTGAACCATCAGACATTAAGGGAGAATAGGGGAAAGAACATACAGAAATGGTTAGAGTGGAACTGGAGTGGAAATGGTTGGCCCTGTGAAAGGAGCTTGACGGTTACTCTAGCAGAGCCTGACCATCCGTTACTTAGGATTTATGCCCCATGCTCGGTCTCAGGCAGAGGTGAGAGGTGAGGTTACCTGGCTAATCTGAAAAGTTAAAGTTATGCCTACCAAAAAATCTTTTATTAGAATCAGGACAGGATTCATGCCAGGATGTTCCTTAGGGAGCTTTTCCCATACCTGGGAATTCAATGTTAAAACTAAATTTAGTCATCATACAAGCATACATAAGCTTCCTCAATCAAGCGTACATAAGTTTCCAAAGTAAAGTGTTAGCAGTTACTTGTATTTGAATACTGTGTTGCCATTTTCTAACTGTGGAAAGAAGTTAGACTAACATTTAAGAATGTATGTTCCCAAGAGAATCAAAATGAAAACATTATCCCCAAAATGTCCTAATAGCCAAAAAGTGGAAACAGTCCAAAAGTCCATTAACTGATGAATGGATAAAGCATGGCATATCTATAGTTGATTATTATTCAACTATAAAAAGGAATGAAGTACTGATACACAAACTACACAAACACAAGATGGATAAACCTTGAAAACATTCTGCTAAGTGAAAGGAGCCAGATACAAGGGCCACATAGTATATGATTCCATATATATGAAATATCCAGAATAAGCAAATCTATACCAAATGTGCTTTGCATAGCACTGTGTGCTTTTTGAGCATTGTCTCAGTGTTCACAGCACACTTTTTAAGTAGGCTGTGAACATATCAGTTCTATAGATGATAGCATTGAGGTTTATAATTTATATAAATTATTTTTTATATAATTTATATAAAAGCCACATGGCTCATTAGTTGCAGTACCAAGAGTTTGTCTAATGCCAAAGCCTGCTGACTTTCTGTACAGCCTGCTGTGTTCTGTTCCATTTAGCCTTATTTAGTTCTCATTTACAATATGTACTGTGTTTGATTTCATCTGTTAAAGGTTGTTTCTGAAAATCTGATGTAGGTCAGTGTGCCATGACTAAAGTAATATTAACTTTCATATAATTGGCTTACTACATGACTTTTTGTCTTTCCTTCTATCATTTTTAAAGGACGTTCAAATAGTGAAAGAAATATTTAATAACATGTTTGAGAGATTTTCTTACTGAAATTCAGTTAAAGGCAGTAAGATTTTACTATAGGCTGTATGTCCACATGACCTTAAAGATGTCTTTTGGGGTTTTTGATTTTTGTTATTATAAAGCACAATCTGTCTAAATATTGGAAGTATATTAGTTTGCTTTTTCCCACCCCTCAGCCTCTGCAAAGGATAGAAAACGAAGTGGAACTCTTAGGAGAACATCTTCCTGTAGGAGGTTTTACTTACCCGCCATCAGCCCATCCCCCAACATTGCCTCCATCAGCTCCTTTGCAGTTCTTAACACATGATCCTTTGCATCAGGAGGTTTCCTTTGGAGTAGTAAGTTTTCATTCATTGTTATTAATTTATTGATTACTTGTTTTGAGTTCTGGTTTTTTTTTAATATTTATTTATTTATTTGGCTGCACCAGGTCTTAGTTGCAGCATGTGGGATCTTTAGTTGTGGCATGTGGGATCTAGTTCCCTGACAAGGGATGGAACCCGGGCCCCCTGCATTGGGAGCGCGGAGTCTTGACCACTGGACAACGAGGGAAGCCCCTCGAGTTCTGTTTCAGTATAACTCTACATGTTTAGAATTTAAAATGTATTCTTGCAGTCAGTTGGAAAATTATATTTAGAAGTACACCTAAGTGTATGTTTTAAACAAGCTGTCGCATCTGTGTTAACATTTAAGAAATAATAAATACCACTTGAACAGTAAATAACTTCCTAGGTTTTTAAAAAAGAAGAGACTTTATTCGACAGCTTAAAAAGTTGTGAACGTAGAATGATTTTTAATTGTTTTACCATTTTTTTCTCTACAGTCTTATCCTCCATTTATGCCTCGGAGGCTCACAGGACGTAGTAGATATCGATCCCAGCAGCCAATACCACCTCCCCCTTATCATCCCAGCTTACTGCCATATGTGTTGTAAGTTCTGTCTTTTTTATTTTAATGAGTTCTGAATTTTGACATCCTTGAGATTCTCTTTCCTTTATGAACATTTCTTTGTGGTATATATTTAATTTAGAGTGTGTTAGATATTTGTTTTTATTTAATGTTAAGAGGTTGGGGTGGGGGGGACCATTTAAGGGTGAAAGAAAGAACAAGGACAAGGTAGAAGTTGGGGGGCGTGGGGGAGAAATTTGTGAGCCAGAAGATAGGTTTAACGAATCAAAAGATAGAGAAGTTTAAATTTTTTGCCTCTTTTACAGCTCGCATCACTTGCCACCTTCTTTTGGTTACCTAGCATTTGATGCTGCTACTTCTCTCAGAGGAAGAGGGAGAAAGAAGTTGTATTTTTGTGCCTTAGAAATACTCTTCTAGGATTAAGTTTGTAACAAAAACACCCATAGCTTAAATATGACAATTCTTTATTTCTTTCTCATGTAATAAAGTCTAGAAGTAGGCAGTTCAAACATGGTTTGTTAGCTCCATAACCCTGAGGAATGGTTCTACTGTCTTCAAAATTTTATGGCTTCCTCTGCATGATATAAGATGACTCCTCAGGCTCTAGCCATTACATCCACATTCCAGCTAGCAAAACTGAAGATGGATCTCTCTGCCTACCTGCCTCCTCTCAAGGATACTTCCTAGAAATTACATGTATGACTCCTGCCTACGTCCCATTGGCCAGAATTTAGTCTCATGTCTGTAACTACCCTCTAAGGAAGGCTGGGGAATGTTGTCTTTATACCAGAGGGCCATGTGCCTATATCATACTATTTTGATAATTGTAGCTTTATTGTAAGTCTTAAAATCAGATGGTATAAATCTCCCAACTTCATTCTTAAACTGATTTTATTTAAAGTCTTTTGCATGTCCATATAAATTTTAAAATCAATCAGTTTCTACTTTAAAAAAGTTGGCATTGTGGTAGGGATTACGTGAAATCTGTAGGTGAGTTTTGGAAGAGAATTGACATCTTTAACAGTATTGAGTCTTCTGGCCTACTTAATATGGTATATTTCTCTATTCATCTTTTAAAATTTATCCTAGCAGTATTTTTACAGTTTATATTATACAGGTCTTGCACATGTTTAGTTAAATTCATCCATAATGCTTCATGTTTTTTTATGCTGTTGTGAATGGTATTTTTTTAATGTCAGTTTTTAATTGTTTATTACTAGTGAAGTCAGTTTCTTTAAAAGGTTGTCACTGATCAACACAGACCATTCTTTATCCATTTAGCACTGGCCTTGTTCTTTTCATCCTGTTCATTGAAATAATGTATTGATGCATTATCAATGCTTGCGTTGCTTATTTTCATTGCAGATCAATGCTTCCAGTGCCACCTGCAGTGGGCCCAACTTTCAGTTTTGAATTGGATGTGGAAGATGGAGAAGTAGAAAATTACGAGGTTAGTAGGTGAAATGTGAATTAATTTGGGGAATTTTGTACGGATAAAAATATTGTGCTACTCCACTCATTGATCTAATTAAACATTTATTAGGTAAATCCATTGTATATTTCAAGATACAAATGTGGGCTTCCCTGGTGGCGCAGTTGGTTGGGGGTCCACCTGCCGATGCGGAGGACACGGGTTCGTGCCCCAGTCTAGGAGGGTCCCGTGTGCCGCAGAGCGGCTGGGCCTGTGAGCCATAGCCGCTGGGCCTGCACGTCTGGAGCCTGTGCTCTGCGGCGGGAGAGGCCGCAGCAGTGAGAGGCCCGTGTATCGCAAAAAAAAAATTAAAAAAAGATACAAATGTGTCAAAAATACTGTTCATCCTTAAAGATATTTCAGCATGTACCACACAGTTATGATAACAAGATAGACTTTGGTGCTCTATTAGAATTACATACAATTCCTGTGAAAGAATGTAAAAGAAAATGGTGAATTATGAGTGGATGTTCTGAAACCATGCAAGTTCTGAACTATGGGAACTGCAAATAGAAAAGAGTACATCTTGAAAGACATTTTAACACTGGAATCAACAGGATTTGATCATTGAGTGGTTTGTGGTAGTGTCAGGGTTATGAGTGGGAAGGTTGCGAGAGAAGATGCTTTGCAAAAGGACTACAATAGCTTATGCAGAAGGCAAACTCAAAGATGATGGGGCAAATAGACGGTGTTGACATTGTCATATTATTTGAGGTTAGGAATAGGACAGACAATTTAAGGGTTGGAAGGCACATTTGGATTTGGAAATGTTGAATGTGAGTGACTATGTGACTGTTTTGGTACTGCCTTATCCCAGCCTCACTCTATTTATGAGTCTCTATTTATGCAGTATGAATACTGGAACAGGGTTTTTTTTGTTGTTCATTTTTTTAGGTGAATTGAACCTGGGAACAGGGATCTATGTCCTTTTGTAATTTTTAAAATGCCATTATGTTACTTTCTGCATATACAGTCACAATGCAGTGTCCTTTGGATTGCATTCTCAGATTTCTTGAGAAAGGGGCTATAATAATTTCCTGTTTCTACACTGCTTATGCTAGTTTTGTACAGAGTAGTAAGAAAAGGAGTTGGTTATCCTTTAGGCATTCTGTATTAAAATTAAATCATAAGTCATGTTGCTGAAAAGGACAGCTCTTTGTTAAATCATATACATATCAGGGCTTCCCTGGTGGCTCAGTGGTTGGGAGTCCTCCTGCCGATGCAGGGGACGCAGGTTCGTGCCCCGGTCCGGGAAGATCCCACATGCCGCGGAGCGGCTGGGCCCGTGAGCCATGGCCGCTGGGCCTGCGCGTCCGGAGCCTGTGCTCTGCAGCGGGAGAGGCCACAACAGTGAGAGGCCCAAGTACCGCAAAACAAACAAACAAAAAAATCATATACATATCAGTGAAGAAAAACAGTGATACATACCATCCTAGTATAAGAAAAATATTTTGTGTTTGGCATTGGAGTCCCTTTCTTTTTTCTTTTCTTTTTTTTTTTTTTTTAATTTTAATTTTAATTTTTATCTTTTGGCCCCACCACGTGGCAGCAGGATCTTAGTTCCCTGACCAGGGATCAAACCTGTGCCCCTGCAGTGGAAGCGAGGAGTCTTAACCACTGGACTGCCGGGGAAGTCCCAGGAGTCCCTTTCTAAATTGTATTTTGGGTTGACTGTGTTTAATCTTCTGCAAAGTCATACTTTAATCCAGTCAATAGTCTTGTTTGCTTTTCTGGTTTTGTCTCATAGTATACATGCCTACAACACACCCTAGTCCAGAGTACTCACCATTTTCTGAGTCTGCCCTATACATCCTTGCTTCAGTGCCTTTATTCCCCTTGATTCTTCTGCTTAAGAACTTTTCCCCCTTCCTGCACATGGCCATCTTTCAAGAACCAGTTACCTCTGTGAAAGGCATTTCTAGCCCATTCCCAGGTCTATGTGAGTCTCTCCCTCCTTTTTGCTCTCATAGGTCTTATAAAACAATACATACTAATCATGTCCTGCCTTCAGTTGTCTTGCTTTCAGATCATGTAGGTTTGTGGAGGGCTCAATTATCATTACATTCTCCATCCAATAAGGGTTTAAAATAATGGTCATAAATTATATTACCTGACCTAAGTGTCCTATAGAATATAAAATATAGGTGTAAAAGATATATCACCTCTATCATAAACTTTATAGCTAATTGTAATCAGCATCAATTAAATTTAACAAATTACCATCTACTAGCATTTAGAAGAACTTAGGGGCATGCATGGGGAAGGGGGAGCAATTTATTTAGATGACACAATTCTCCAAATAAAGCTGCACCAAAAGCAGTGTTGCAGCAGCATCATGTTAAAACACAGTTATCACAGCATTGATTATTGATATTATGGGAAATTAAATTTATTCCTCTCATTGTCCGTCATTATTTCTTTGTTACCTATTCTCTTAACCCTGTGGCAGCCTTAAAAAAATAAAAAAGAGGGGAAGCAGCATGCACATGGCTGCCTGATTGTAGGATAAAGCAAATGAGCAATTAGAGCCATTGAAAACTGGGAGAAAGGAGGTACTAGTGTAAAATCAAGCATAATAGCTGCAATGTGTTGAAACATATCAACTGTGTTAAAATCCATGAATTCATAAGTGATACTTCAAAAAATAAAAGAAAAACTCATTGGTCTTATCCTGCCTATTTTATATAAATTAAACTACTGAGTATAGTTTAATATGAGGCAGCTGATCAGTGTAGAAGTATTTCATCTAATGAAGAAAGAGTGATAGAATACTACCGTTTTGCCATCTTTAATGAATTAATGTATCTAGGCAGTGTTCCATCAGTGCTAACTAACATAACACCTAGACATGCTGAGCCTTACGATGGAAATAGTAAAATCTTCCAATTTATATTAAGTACAGGGGACAAGGAAGGAACGTTATTAAACCACACGAGTCAGGGATGGGGAGGTTCAGTCAGCAAAATTCAGACTGCGAATTTCTACAGGCCATTGACCTGGTTTCTTTAACAAATAAAAGAGTAAAAAAAAGTACTTGAGATGTCAAGCAGTGGTAACATGGATTTATTTGGATCCTAATTTGAACAAACTATTTCAAAAAGTGTTTTGAAAATAATTGAAACAATCAGAGGTATTTGACATTAAGGAATTACTAATTCTGGGGGTGTGATTATATTCTTTTAAAAAGTGTTTTAGGGGCCTCCCTGGTGGCGCAGTGGTTGAGAGTCCGCCTGCCGATGCGGGGGATGCGGGTTCGTGCCCCGGTCCGGGAGGATCCCACGTGCCGCGGAGCGGCTGGGCCCGTGGGCCATGGGCGCTGAGCTTGCGCATCCGGCAACGGGAAAGGCCACGACAGTGAGGGGCCCGCATATCGCAAAAAAAAAAAAGTGTTTTAGTTTTTAGATTGGTGGTGGTTCTCAACCTGGGGACAGTTTTATCCCTTAGAGGCTATTTAGCAACATCTGGAGATACTTTTGTAGAGGCCAGGGTTACTGCTAAACATCCTACAGTGCACAGAAAAACCTCCCACAAATTTTATCCAGCCCCAACTGTCCAAAATGCTGAGGTTGACAGACTGTCTTAAAGATAACAAACAGAACTATTTCACCAATGAAATACCATGTTTTAGTTTTCTTTCAAAATAATCTGGGATTTAGGAGTGGACAGTAAAAGATGAAATAAATAAGCTGTGAATTGTTGAGCCTGGGTAATGAGCATATGGAAGTAATTTCTTTATACTATTTCTCTAATTCTGTATGTATTTAAAATTTTTCCGTAATAAACGTAGTTTAAATATATATATATTGGAATATAAAATTTAAAGAAAAATGCAGCTATGTCTCTTTCCCTCTGTAGGCCCTGTTAAACCTAGCAGAGCGACTGGGAGAGGCCAAGCCTCGAGGACTGACTAAAGCAGACATTGAACAACTTCCTTCTTACCGGTTCAATCCTAACAACCACCAGTCAGAACAGACTTTGTAAGTATATTTTTCTGACCTCATTCTGTGTTAAATTTCCTTTTCCACCTTTTGTGAAATAATAGCTTGGAAGTCAAAGATAACTTGATAAAGATAAGTAGTGACTATTTCATACTCTAGGCCTATGCTGTCCAGTAAGATAGTTGCTAGTCACATGGGGCTATTTAAATTAAATAAAATAAAAGTTAAAATTTTTAGTTGCACTAGCTAGTGATACTATATCAGAAGATGTAGATGTAGAACATTTCTATCACCTGAGAAAGTTCTATTGGACAGTGCTGTTCTGGATTTTTAGGTGGCCTAGAAATCTTATGGTTCTTAATTCAAACACTAGAATTATATTAGATTGAAAAGTTTCACACCTGTAAAATTTGAGGGTTTTACCTGAAGATTCTCCTTATTATAGTATCTTTTTTTTTTGTGGTACGCGGGCCTCTCACTGCTGCGGCCTCTCCCGTTGTGGAGCACAGGCTCCGGACGCGCAGGCCCAGTGGCCGTGGCCCACAAGCCCAGCCACTCCGCGGCACGCGGGACCCTCCCAGACCGGGGCACGAACCCACGTCCCCCACATCAGCAGGCGGACTCCCAACCACTGCATCACCAGGGAAGCCCTATAGTATCTTTTTTAATAGCAACTCTGCTAGATACAATTCGCATTTAAAGTGTATAATCCAGTGGGTTTTAGTATATTCATAGAATTTTGCAACTCTGAATTTGATTTGCATCATCACAATCAAGTTTACACCATTTTCATCACCCCCAATAGAAACCTCATTAGTAACCACGCCCCATTTCTCCCCAACCCTCTAAACCCTGGCTCAGCCCCCTACTGTATCACTTCATTCCTAATTGGCTATACCATTTTACATTCCCACCAGCAGTGTACAGAAGTTTTCAGTTTCTCCACATCCTCACCAACGCTTGTTATTGTCTGTCTTTTGATTCTAGCCATCCTAGTAGGAGTGATGTGGTATCTCACTGAGGTTTTGATTTCCATTTCCCAGATGGCCAGTGATGTTGAGCTCTTTTACTATACTTATTGGCCATTTATATATCTTTAGAGAAATGTGTATTCACATTCTTTGTGCATTGTTTAATTAGGTTGTCTTTATTGAGTTGTAGAAGTTATTTGCATATTATACATATAAGTCCTTATAAGATTTATGATTTTCAAAAATATCTTCCATTCTGTGAGTTAGTTGTCTTTTCACTTTATAGATTGGCATCTTTAGAAGCACTTTTTTTTAATGGATGAAGTTCAGTTTATCTGTGTTTTCTGGTTGGTGTTTCTTGTGCTTTTGATACCATCTCTAAGAAACCATTGCCTATTCCAAGGTCATGAAGATTTACTCCTGTGTTTCATTCTAAAAGTCTAATAGTTTTTAGCTTTTACATTTAGGCTTTTCATTTTTTAGTTAATTTTCGTATATTTTGTGAGGTAGGGGTCCAGCTTCATTCTTTTGCATATGGGTATCCAGCTGTTCCAACCCCATTTGTTGAATATAATAGTATCTTCAGTATTAAGGTTGTCTTGGATGTTAAGCCAGAAATTTTCTTGATGATCTCTCACTGAGTAAAGCAAAGCACTCCTACTAAATTTCTTAATATCATGCTTTTTTCGAGGTATTGATAGATTATTTTGTTTTAAAATTTAAATATTTTGATAAGTGAGATAATAAGTGGTTTTGTAGGCTTTAATAGTTGTAACAAAATAGAAACCCCACTTGGTTTTATGGTTAAACAATCTTTTTGCTTTATTTTAGGTGTGTAGTATGCATGTGTGATTTTGAGTCAAGGCAGCTACTTAGAGTTTTACCCTGTAACCACGAGTTCCATGCCAAGTGTGTCGACAAATGGCTTAAGGTAAAATGATGGCATCTGAAGAGAATGACATCGCATTTTCTTTCTTATGCATCATAGTTTCATGTAGAATAAGTCCATGGTTTGGTGGAGGGTGATTAAGGAGACAAAACTGAAACACAGCTTTCAGTATGATTTCTGCAAATTAAGAGAAAAGACCAGTAGAAATGAACTACAGTCATCAGCGTGGGAGTGATTGAGCAAAATCTAAAAATGGGTTTTCTGTCCTTGATAATCAATATGTCCTAACTTTCTTCTAAGAGTTTAGAGGGCACCTCACTGGAGGTTCTTTGTCAGAGATTTACATGAGAAATAAACCTCTAGTGCTTTTACATAATTCTGACCATTTTCTCCTTTGTGTATATGGGTGGGGGGGAGTCCAAAGACACAAATTCTAATAGTATGCCAGGGTGAAATTATTTCAGGGACTTCTTATTTTCTATTTTTTTATAATGGTAGATAAAAATGTGATGAAGTAAAATAATTTAGTAAACGTAATGGTTTGTTTTAGATTATTCTGAGTAGGAGATGATAATACTGGCTTAGATAACTTCGCGGTTGGTGAGGAAGACAGATGAGTTAAAATAAAATAGAATCAGTCCTCTGTGTGAGCACAGATTAAGGGTACCCAGTTTAGTCCAAACTGAATCCTGAAGGCAAAGAGTCTAGACTTTTTAGAAAACTGAGGTTATTGTATATGCATAGCCCTGACATATGAGAACAGAGAATGACCAGAAAAACACGGGTTCCATGTGGCTGATGGCTAGAGTGTGAGGGAGAGAGGCAAGAGAAGAGAGGGGTTCAGAGGTAAAACCAGGAGCCAGCTTATTGCAAAGTCACTGTGAAGTGTGCGGGAGTTTGGACTTGATCCTGAAAACATGTGAGAGGATATGTCTTAGAAAGATCACAGCCACAGTTTGGAGAATGGAATAGAGGAGATAATTTCTGAGAGACAGAGAGATGAAATAAGGATGTTCTGGGCCAGATGGAGAAGAAACAGTAGAAGTTGGATGAGAAGAAGAGTACTTGATTTGAGAGCTCTCATAATGTAAAAATGAGAGTATTTGATGAAAAATGCTTCGTAGAACGTAAGAGAGCCAGGTGTTGCTTAATGTTTCTGATTTTAGCAGCACAGCCAATGGTAGTGCCATTTGTTGAGATGGAATTTTAAGCCAGTTATTAAATTTGTCTAAACTGGTAATGGGTAGTTTTGTCTGTATGTTGAAACGGACCTATTAAAAAATTACTCATAGGCTATTGTTTTTGAGGTTTGTGGAGTATATTTTTAAAAGATTAAATGATTGCTTTGTACCTTCTTAAAGAAACAAAGAATGTAAAAACTATGTGGAAAGTAAAAATAGTTCTATTGCTTTTAATATGTTTCACCGTATAAAAAATTCAAAATTCAAACAAGTTTTCTCTTCTGTGTTTCAGGCAAATCGTACTTGCCCAATCTGCCGAGCTGATGCTTCAGAAGTGCATCGGGATTCAGAATGACCAACTTAAGAGCACAAATTTAATTTGGGTGTTCCTCATCACATGTATATATGGACTATCCATTGAACTTAATCTGTGTGGCTTCCAGCCCTCCCTTTACCAAAAGGGTCAATGGACCTTTCTTTGCACTGTGTGACTTAATCAACTATAAAAGCTTACAATTAGTCTTCACAATTATGGGATTGTTATACTAACCGTGTGATTGGAACTCCAAAGACTTTTTCTTTAGCTTAATTTTGTGTGTGCACTAACATTCCCTGGTTTTCGTGTGATCATTCCGAGTGTTGCTGCAAGATTACAGTGGACGTGATCTTTTAGCATGTGCTTTTATAAAAAGTGGTAGCTCCAGATGATATAGCAATCTACCTTATATAGAGCCTTCAGAAACTGTGAGTGGAAATGAATGCAGCGTATGACTGTTGGTGATAAATGTATCTGTGTGTGTGTGAGAGAGAATGTGTGAAACTACTTGTGTGAGGGCATGGTAGCTCAAGTGTGTATGAGATCCTGTATACCAGCATGTACTAAGAATGTGTGTGTAGTTTTAATTATGCTGCAATGTATAATCTGGTGTGTTATTTAAACAGCACTAGTACTGTACACTGGTTTTTCCCCTTGTGTTTGCTGTTGCACACTGATTGATAAGGGTGCATCAATTATAAGCATTGAATACTCCATCCCCTTCCCTCCCAATGAATGGAATGAGAAAAGCCTTCTTCCTTTGCTTCAGGCAGCTGTCACCTTCTCTTCGTTGGTGATCCCAAGTGGGTCACTTAAGGAAAAAAGTGTAACAGATTCTCACTCCATGAACCTGATAGTTTCATTCTGTTGTGAAAAAGAAATTTTTAAATCTCCAACTTGCTGTTTCCAAAAAGAAGGTGCAATATCATACATCATCAATTAGCAATATTAGCATTTCAATCAATGATTTGAATGTTGATACTCTCTTGTTTTTCCTTTACCTTTCCAGTAAGCTTCTTACCGGAAGTACTTGTGATTTTTTTTTTTTAATGTTTAGATTTGTAGTCTATTCCGAAGATATTTGAGTAATATATTTCTAAGAATACCACTGGTCCCATGAAGTCTCACCTCCTCTACTTCCACCAGAACAAAATCTGTTAACTCAGCTTGACTTCTGATATGTTCTTTGTTCAAGCTCCCATAGGCAACTAAATTGTTTTAAGAAAACTATTATTTCTGTTCTGCCAAGCTCCAGTTCTGAAAGTTGTCTAGTTCTTTTCCCCTTAGTAAATGTGCTTCTCATCGAAATCCTCATTTCCAGGATGGATCAAGTGCTGTGACAGCTCAAGTTCTTTAGACCTGATGTGCTTTGATGTTTTATTGCTTTTCTTTTAAATTTTTGTTTGAATGAGAAAAAGATTAATTTAACAGGTGTCCAGAATACTTGCAGTATAAATGAAGATTTGATTTTTGTATAAAAGATAATGCTGTAAAACAGGAATTGACCTTCATTTAGTTGATCTGAAAATAATACATAGCTGTGTGGGGTTTTTTTAACAGGTTCATTGAGCATAATTCAGATTGTTTAAAATCATTTTTCCAGCAATGTTTGGATTCCTCTCTCTTTCTTCTAGTGTGCTCAACATTGCCTCTTCCTGCAGTTGATGTCCTTGCTCTGTTTGCAGTAGCACAAGCTGCATAACTCCAGTCGGGACTGTAATGGCTTGCTGCCAGCCTCACCCAGCTTTCAGTTGGTTCTGTGTCCATTTTCTACTCAGTGTTAACTACTTGTTACTGCCGTGCTACTTGCCTTCCCTTGAAGACTCTATAAGCTCATCGCAGCTTAGAGTTCAGTAAAGTCAATTCACACAGAAGCACAATTTTGCCCTTTTCCAGACACTGTTGCCTCTATCTAGTCATACAAGTAGGATTTTTTGTACCTTCTGTTTGCCCCTGTATTTGTCAGTGCATCAGAAGTACATCTAAACAGTGGTAAAATGCACGTTACTTTTAAATCATCAGAATATCCTCTACCTGTTCCTGATGAATAAAGTGTGTTAAAGACCAAAATTATTGGCGTAATAATCAGCTACATTACAAATCACGTATAGTTTAATCTTTATTTTTTTTAATTAAGAAATCATGTTTAAAATGGCAAAAGCCCATCTTATACATAGACTTTTATATAGCTGCAAAAAATTTATATCTGTACAGATCTAACATAACACTACTACACTCAGTATTCATTTTATTGAAGCATGCAAGTAAAGCACTTTTTCTAATTTATATAGATACCTAATTAACAAGGCACATTGTACTAATGACTAGGAAAAGTAGCTCTTTCCTCCCTCCCTCTGATGAATTCTTAATACCCCTTTTCCATTAAAATTTTAAGAGGTTGTTGGCAATTTAGGAGGCAGCAGGGTCTATTTTGGTAAAATCCTGAATGAATTGTTGCACTCGTGACTGATCTGTCTTTGGGAATGTCTTCTTTGCATGGGGCTCTTAAGGATGTGTGCAGACTTGCCTATTAAGTGGTTAGTGCATATTAGGAGCATACCTGCATGTGTTCTGAACCAGCTTAGACTAGCCACAGTGAGCAGCTTTGTGGCTAGCAGAAGAGAAAGAACAGTTGATTCATACCCAGCTGTTGACACCTTGGGTGATGCACCAGATAGCAGGCAGATGTTAGTTTGTTGCCTTCTCCCTCTTTCCTCCTAAAACAATTTTGGCTTTACCACCTTAACTCTGCTGTGTTTTTTGTTTTTCTGTGCATGAAATACCATCTTTGTTTGTTTGTTTTTAGCGCCCCCTCTTCCCCAAACAGAACAAAACAAAAAACAAGTCCTCCAGGTATCAAGATCTCATTAGGATTTTCTGTCCTGAATTTTTTGGAGCAAAATCTGGAAAACGTGAAAGCATATTTAGATTTTATACACTCTCTGAAACGTGATTTGTTAAGATTCTTATATTTGGGCCTCTTTTAACATTTTGGAAGAGATCTACCAACTCACTTATGAGAATATTTTTCACAGATATCTTTAGGCCTGTTAGAGAAAGCTATTTTCCCCCTGTTGGTACATTTGGTTACCTCATTTTGCTGTTTCTTTCAGATTGTGAAAGCTTACAGGGGTGTATCTTTGGAATCATTTGCTGAGTCATTTCCTCAAATCATACTCCATTGTATCAGTTAACATAGTTTTAAATGTACGTATTATAAATATCTTTTATGACTGATAGTCTTGCAAAAAATACATTAATAATCAAGTTAAGAATTTAATAATCTATTTAAAAATTGGTTTTGTTTAAACATTTCAACTTTGATTTTTTGTTTGTTTGTTAACATAAGAAAGCACTTTCCTAAAGTTGCAAGGAGACCTTGGTTGTATAGAAACAATATTGCATCATGGGTAAGTACATTAAATCTGTCCACAGAATGTCTAGGTTTGCATTTTATACATACATATTATGCATATATGTACATATTATGTATGTATTATAAATATTTGTAACCAAATCATTTGAAGGCTTGATAAATTTTTAACAAAGTTTGTACATTTTTTATGAAAGTTACTAGTAATGCTTTACTAAGTAGTGCAATGAATTTTTATTTTTAATCCCTGTGCCCAATTTTGGAGTTGAGAGGGTTGTTGGTAATAAATGTATGATGTACACTTAAAACATTCGGTTGTGTTTGGTGTTACTGTGTTAGGGAAGGGTAGGGGTTGTATATGTTTGGAGGGAGGGGTGTAGAGAGGGATTCTCACAGGAAGATAGAGCTCTTGAGCTACTAGAAGCCAGATTTAACTTTTAGGCAGTAATTCAGATTTTTGTTTCTGTGTGTATAAACAACTTAGAAGCATAAAAGCAACTTGCATTGTAACTCATATGGTACATATTTATATCTTTACAAAGGCCAAGAAGATAGCTTGAGTGTAGGCATACACATGGTGTATAAGCTTATTGAACGTTAAGGTTACATAAGTGGGCAGCTAGATTTCTTTCTGTGTATGTCAACTATAAGATGTAGGAAATAAGAGTACAAAAGATAATTGGGGGAGATGCAAGAGGGAGGAGATACAGGGATAAATGTATATGTATAGCTGATTCACTTTGTTAATAAAGCAGAAACTAACACACATTGTAAAGCAATTATACTCCAATAAAGATGTTAAAAAAATAAACTATGGAAACCAAAAAAAAAAGGTAATTGGGCAGATTTGTTCACATTAGCTATGTCTGACTTGTCAATATAATATGGAAAGAGGAGCCTCTGCTTATCATTTTCCATACATGTTTGTGTAATTGCTTTCCTTTGACTAAAAAAGGAAGAAAGTAAAGCAGTCTATATATATGCTGAAAGTAGAAGTAAAATACCAAAAAAAAAAATATGAGGCTAATAGATCCCAATTCTCACTCTTTCAGGAAGCAGTCCTTTGGCTTAAGGTGATACCCTCAGACTGGCTCCAGTCCTCCCTTGACAGAAGCATTCAGAAAAGGGACTAAGTCCTGATTGTTTCCCTCATTTTTCCAGCATACTTGAAAGAGTGAGTGTTTGTGTTGGACTGAATGACTCAAAACTTGTACTGTCTTACTGCAGAAACATTTACTGCTCAGTCAGTACCTATGCACTCTCTCCCATCCCCCTTCCTACAATAAGGCAGCGAGGCCCGTGCAGCTGGGTTTGACCAAAGGACTGTAAGCTTAGGCCATGGGGGAGCATTTAAAAGCTAGCTCTCGTTTCCTCTGCCATGTCGATGGCATCCCTGGATCCTGAGCCACTGTCTGGAAGAGAGCTGTCCTAGAAAGCCACCGGACTCCACAGATTTTCTGTTAACAATAAATAGAGGTCCTTAAACTACTCTTCATCAGGACTTCATCTTTGCCAGTTTATTTCCCCCCTTTACAAGTCTTTTTAGTCTTATTCTAACTACATTTTGATAATACTAATCCTCAAATGTGCCAATTAAACATCACTGGCTACAGTTAACTTTTACTAGATCACAAGATCTGATTTGCACCACAGGATAAAATTCTTTTGAATGTTTGTGGTCAGATCACTATCAAATGTGTCAAGTCTCGTGTGTGCTTCAGACTAATGAACTGTATAGACAAGGATGTCCAATAGAAGTGTAATTAGCCACATAATTTTTTAAATTTTAGTGGCTATGATAAAAAACAGTTAAAAAAAATATTCAACCTA